AAGCTAGAATACCACCATCGCAAAGGTGGATGTGCCAGTAGTAGGTATATCCTCAACCCCAACCATAGTAAACAGTACTGTCATATGTCAAAGCAACCAGAATTACAAAGAGGAAGTTAGGTTTTGGCCAAAACTGGACAAACTTCCAAAACCACTGTAGGAGCAAGAAATACAACAAACTGAACCTGACATTATGGGGTCATGGCATTGCCTCAACTCAACCACAAGAACAAGGTAATATCTGTAACAGGTATTATGAGCAGAAATCATAAATCACTCAACCAGCAAATATGGAGCCACAAGTAGGAATAGGCACGGAGTGGCTTGGATTAGGAATAGAACTCTGGAGAGGAGTCAAATAGAAGGGTAAGCATAGATGTGAAGATCCTTCCAAACTTGAATGAATGTATCCACCCCTAGAACTTGCAGGTATGGAACAGGAGACCAAAAAGAAAGAAGTTTGGTGTTCCAGAAAGTGACAAAGGCATAGATATGAGGTGTTCCCAGTTGAGAATACACCCATCAAAAGACCTGAGGATTGAGGGACCACTTCATGGGGAGAATCTTTTTGGGATGAGATAATTGATCTACAACCAGATTCAGGATGCCAGGAACATGGTAAGCTGAGACCACAATGTGGTCTCTATGGTCCCAGAAAAGGAGATCCTGGGTCTGGAAACACAGAGACTTGGATTTGGTATACCCCTTTGCTTGGTGATATAAGTGACGACAGTGGAGTTGTCAGAATGTACCATAACCACTCTCCCCCGCAGGAGAGGAAGGAAGTGGATCAAAGCTTGACAAACCTCTATAAGTTGAAAATGTTGATATGGAGGGAAGACTTCTCAACCAACCAGAGACCTGAAATCTCCCTAGAGTCTGGGGAAGCACCCCAACCCTCTAAAGATGCATCTGTGAACATATGTAACTCCTGATGGGGTGGAGGAGGTGGAACACCCACCTTGGTCTGGTCCCCGTCGAGCCACCAAACCAGGCCAGCCCTGATTGAGGAAGAAAGGGTAATAAGGTGGTCCAAGGGATTCAAAGAGAAGTTCCACTGATGATGGAGTGTCCACTAAAGCGAATGCATATGAGCTCAACCTATGGGATGGAGAGCTTCCAAGAAAGCCTACATTCTCAAAAGGATAGAACCTCTTGAGCCATGAGAGAATGTGAGGTGAGAGCCTTTGTGACTGCTTGCTCTATATCCCGGAGGCAAAGAGAAGGAGGCTGGGCCCAACTGAAGTTAGAATTGAAGAAAAACCCCAAATGAACAAGGTATTGGGTAGGGGTAAGAATAGACTTCACCACCTTGATCAGAAAACCCACCCATGCTGCTTCTTGTAGGAGTAGATGAATGTGGTCGAAGTAAGCAGGAGCCAGTCGTCCATGTAATGGTGAGTGAGAAGATCCATTGTGTGAAGGTGTTGGGTACAAGTGAGTACCACCTGACAAAACCCACAAGGAACCAAATGGCAGGGCCCTGAACTGGACCACATGACCTTCATGGATGAACCAAAGAAAATTACATGACTCAGGAGCAATAGAAATGTGAAGATAGGCATCCATCATGTTGAACTTAGTTTTCCATAGTCCCAGGGAAAACACCCACCAAAATATGAGATAGGATTGCATTGTGAAGCAAGG